TATTATACTTCAAGCTTCCGTGCCTTTGCCAGTGCTGCTCCTTTGTCTGGAATGCCTCTTAGCAAATTTGATTTTAATCTCCAAGACCCAGGCCACGAAGCTCTTTTTTTTTGTTAAACCCTACCAAATGTCAGCTTCTCAAGAGCAGATGCCACATCTTTCTTAAAAAAATAATCTTTATATCCCCAGTTCTCGGCACACAATAGGTACTTAGTAAATCGTGACTAAATGGAATGAAAACTACATTGCATCCTCCCTTACCTAAATCTTAATTTTGTCCTGTTCCATTTAGAGCAGAATGATCTATGATACACCATCTTCTCTGTCAAAAGTCTGAATGAGCGACCTAAAATCAAGTGGCCACGACTAGTCCTCCACAAGCCAATTTCATTTCATTAATGGTCCAGCTCTTCAGCTTTAATGATCATTTCTTTCTCCAAGCTTTTGCCACTTCCTAGTTGTACATGACAAAATAATAACTGATGCTAGCAGCACTTTCCAGTGTACAAAATATCTTGATAATTTGTGGGGCAGAGTTCACACAACAAGTTCCCACAGGTCACAGATATCTCTTTTATCTGCCTTGTTTTAAAAAGAACTTCAAGCTAATGATTAACCAACTTTTTAATCCATATTAGAAAAAAAAAGTTAATATATAAAACGTTTACCAATATTTTCTGAAAACCCACATACCTTACAATTTATTTGATATGTGCCCTGCTCTAGGGAAACTGAATATAACTTAAAGCAAACTCAGAAAAGGATGCTCCTCGTGATTTCATTATACACAAAGTTCTTTTAGTAGAAACTAAATATTCTGATTGTTTTTCTTTAACTTGGTTTATATACAAGTTACCTGAAGTAAATCTAGGACATAAAATATTGAGAGGGACTTTGAAGGTTAATTATTTGGTGTATGAATTCCCTCTATGTTTCTAAGGCCTAAAATATAGGCACTGCTTCAACAATGTCAAAGATCTCAAGCACAGAGTGGCCAACACAACAGGAACTTTGAACTCACATAAATGAAGGTCAGAATCTTGATTGCTACCACTTGAAACTCTGTTTAGATAAGTTGTTGTAACTCTGATCATGAATGTCCTCATCTGTTAACAAGGTGTAAGGGCCCAAAATTTGGGGCTTTTATGAGGATTACACAAAGTACATGTGAAGAACCTAGCAAAGTCCTGATACACAGTAGGCCCTCAAAAAGTGGTTGTTAAAGGAACCATTCCAACTCAATAATAGAAAGACAAACAACCCAATTTTAAAATGGCCAAAAGATCTAAATAGATATTTCTCCAAAGATATACAAATGGCCAGTAAGCAAATAAAAAGATGCTCAACATCATTAGTCATTACTTCACACCCACTAGGAGCTAAAATAAAAAAGGCGGACAATAAAAAGTGTTGGTGAGAATGTGGAGAAATTAGAATCCTCATAATAGAATATTATTCAGCTATAAAAAGGAATAAATACATGCATACTACATTTCACTGCATTTTGCTCTATTGTGCTTCAGATATAGCATTTTTTACAAATTGAAGGTTTGTGGCAACCCTGTGTTGAGCAAGTCTACTGGTGCCATTTTTCCAACAGCATTTGCTCATTTCATTTCTCTATGTCACATTTTGGTAATTCTCACAATATTTCAAACTTTTTC